CTCAAGTTTCTCTTTTTTTTTAAGTAGATGTATAGATAGTAACTTCTTTCCTTTTCAAAATAGTATTTTAGTTATCCTTATGTTTATGAAGAAATGTGCAAAAGATAATAGGTGATCCCCAAGAGCGTAGAGCTTCTTAAACCCTGAGCATATTGTTTTCTGTTCTTAAAGGCTTTTAAAAAATACAGTTTTTTCTTTTTAGTGTTTTAGTTGCTCCTGCATCACAGACAATAGTGATAAAAATCAAATTGAATCATTTAAAATAGAGCTAAAAATAGAAAAAATATTTTGACAAACAAAACTTTATAGTTGAAGCATGGTATTTAATTTGGCTGTGTGGTACGTTTTTCCCCAGTAGAAATGTGGAAAGATGAGCCACCAAGGTATAACATGTATCTAAGTATGTAGGTGCTAATGACTAGGTATTCCACACATGCAAAGTCTAGAACAATGTGGAAAACAGCTCACTGACAAACTGGCAAGTGGGAGCCTGTCAACTGTAAAGAAAGACTGTGTCCAGGTACTTAAAAATCAGTGAAGTTTGGTTTTTAAAAGTTCAAAACAAATTGAAAAAACAATTTCACTGGACAAACATGCCTTAACCTGAAAAAATGGCTTTAACATTAGGATTTCCTTACTCTTGGCAGTGAGGTGCAAGAGATTTGGTTGTTGAGGATGTGCTAGGGTGATCAACCATCCCATTTGCTCAGGACTGAGGCATTTGCTGGGTTGTGGGGCTTTCAGTAGTCAAACCAAGATAGTCTTGGGTAAACAGGGACATTTGGAAACCCTAGGTTGTATTTTCACCTCTCAGTTATACCTTATGTAATACAAGCTAGGTGCTGCATCCTGGATTTGGCTCCATAATCAGCTTTATTAAGCCCTTGTATCAAGTTCATTTTTTGATGTTTCAGTTTCTTTAGCAAGTTAGTAATGATACCTGTAAATCCTGACTGATTTTAGTAATGGCATAATTACCAGCTAAACAAAATGCCCTATGTTTAATTTTTTGAAAGTTCAATTGAGTAAACAAATTCCTTCAAATTGGGCAATCGATGCTTTCTCTTACTTGCCAGTTCCCAAAAGACTTTTTTTTTCCTAGAAGAATGAGGCTTTTAGAAAGTTGTATATGATTTAAAAAAAATCTGGGGCTCCTGAGTGGCTCAGTAGGTTGAGCGTCTGACTTTGGCTCAGGTCATGATCTCATGGTTTGTGGGTTCGAGTCCTACATCAGGTTCTGTGCTGACAGCTCAGAGCCTGGAGCCTGCTTCAGATTCTGTCTCCCTCTCTCTCTGCCCCTCCCGTGCTCATGCTCTGTTTCTCAAAAATAAATAAATGTTAAAAAAAAATTTAAAAATCCTTTCTTAACTCAAACTAGTGATTTCCAAAGCCATTGCCTTTGAGGAAGATTACACAGAGACTATGCAATGAAGTTGTAGAAACAAAGTGACACATTGATGGGTTATAATATATTTCCCGCTCATTTAACTTCCTTTTGGAATAGATGAATATCTGTTGTCTTATAGGTAGGTGACAGCTCATAGAGAAATAATTTCTAAAACTTTATTTATATATGACTCCAAGTATGTGGCAATAAAATGATATTCATGTAGTTTTATGGCTGCCAAAGATGGTGCTGCTCATTTGAAATTCTCAGGGCAAACTGCTCTTTCAGCATCACCCATGGTTAGCAAAACTTGTTTGAAAAAACTTGCTCAGTGTGAATTGATATTTGCATGTTATGTTACTCTTTTAACCCCTTTGCTTTTGCACTAAATTGAAAAGTTCTGGACAAATACGTGAAAAGGAGTAAAAAAAAAATAACAAATCATGTTTTCACTGAATGTTAAAACATAGACAGTTGTTTAAAGGTATAGGGGTGCCTGGGTGGCTCAGTCAGTTAAGCATCGGACTTCAACTCAGGTCATGATCTCACAGTTCGTGGATTAAAGCCCCACATCGGGCTCTGTGCTGACAGCTCAGAGCCTGGAGCCTGCTTCAGATTCTGTATCTCCTTCTCTCTCTGCCCCTCCCCCACTCATGCTCTATCTCACTCTCTCTCTTGTAATGTTTAATAAAACATTAAAAATATAAAAATAAAAATATATTTATAAAGCAGAACACACTTAAAAATACCTACTGGAATTTAAATTATTGGGTGCCATCTGTGGCTAGTAATAGTATGTTCAAAGGTACAGTTGAATTTAACACCAAAGCACAGTACACATTTCAGCCATTAAATAAAAAATGTCCTTAGCTTTAGGTTATGTAATGATAAACTGTACCTGTTGAAAAATATATGTGGAAAAAAGAAATAATTTTAATACAAATATGACTCATCTGCAGGCATTCATTTATTCCGATCCAGCAACCATGGTACATGTGTTTGGATTACTGGGCATAGTACGAAATATTTAAAAGGGAGTGGAGGTCTTTATTAAAACAGAAGGCTCTTCAAACTCCACAATGATGTCAGAAATATAGGTCCTTGGAGCACATTATTGTTTTAAGCGGAGGTCCCCGTACTTTCACATTGGTTATAAAACATTATTTTGTGCTGCTGGCCTGGACTGGGAATGTCATACATCTGCAGGCAATTAGAAGAAGCTGGACTGCATGTTTGATTAGCTCAATAATAAACGGGCACAAGTGTGACTCGACTTATGTTAGTCAGATTCCCCAGACAGATTATCCTGTTGTTATCATATGAAATAACCCCCTTTTATCAACAATTAAGTAAATCCACATTTATGGGCACTTTGCAAAATTGTGAGGTGGGAAGAAATCCAACTTAAGCCTTAAGTCATCCAAAAAACTTTTAACCCTGCTTTCAATGATACAGACCCCAATCCCAAGTTTTAGAAATTGGTTGAATTATGCAGAACAGTTGGGCTGGGAATACTCTGTGTGCACACAGTAAGTGTATGTTTTTAGCATCTATTATAAGCACGGCATTTAATCGTTTTAGCTTATATGTAAAGAAAAAAATTCTCATAGAAGTAAGAATTACAAATGTTGTAATATGTGAAAAATAACTTTGTAAGGTAGTCTAAATCTTTTTCAGAAAAAGTAAATAGGATTTAATTTTTATTATTCACACTTTATTATACAGCTTCTACTGTAACCAGTACATATTATAAGTCTTGAATATGCTTTATCCTAGAACTTCTTCACTTGGTTCTAGGCTTTGTTCTTGAAGTCAACCATAATCATCAATGATAGACTATAAGCTACTTTGGGAAATGACCTATTCATTTATGTTTTTTTTTCTCCTAAGTACCATTTAAAATATACATCTGAAGCATGAAAAATAATTCAGTCATAAAAGTCAATGCTTAAAAAATTTCAGCATAACTTTTAAGTTTCAGGAAAAATTCCACCAACCCTTCCAGTTCAACTATATATTTAAATAACACAATTAAAAAGTTGGTGTCTTCAATAAGCTCAAGATACCTTTCACCAATATTCACTCAAATACGTATACATAAAGTAACCTCGTGAGGGTATCTCCTTGACATAATCCTTAAATTAAATATCAGAATATCAAGCAGATGCTGAAGCATTCATCATCAATATTGGAATTCTGACTCATGACAGTAACACGAAACAGATGCTAATATGACGCGCCCTCTGAAAAGTGACACCATCACAGCACGGGTTAGCTCTTGATGTGGGGTACTTAAAAATTTGAACACAAAATATAAAACAATAAAAGTCAGAGTGTGATAGGTGTCCTTACTTCATTTATAAGCCATTTGAAATCTATCTCCTACAGAAGATAAAACTCAACACTAATGAAGAAAAGGCAGCACCTCAGGGAACCAGAAGATGCTTCTTTCACTTAATGTAGCATGTAGGTGATCCCAAATGAGCCCCTCAGTGCTGAGGGAGGAAGGTGCTCTCTACCTCACTCATGAGCAGGTAGAAGGTAAGAACTCCTGGGCCCTTTCCATTGGCCAGTGTGTACCAGGCACTTGTGGTGTAATATGGGGTCTACTGTCTCAGCCCCTGGCAGTGAAAAAGGAGTCTGGGGCTCCTATGGCCCATCTCAGTAACAGTCTCCACACCAGGCAGATCTGAAAGGGTTTGCTAAGAAGGAAAAGGGGAACAAAATCTCTTAGCACAGTCCAGTTAGCTAATATCCTACACATCTTCAAAGCCCAAGATTCTTATCATTTTGCTAGCATGAGTCTACTGCTGTTTCTAGAATAATGCACAGTGATGTGTACTCTTTGTGAAAATAAACAGAAAAACCCAAGTAGATGGTACTATGGTGCAAGTGATATAAGTGAAATGTACTCCCATGACAACTTAAAAAGACATAAATGTTAGTGGGGGAGATTCCCTCAAAGGTAACAAGAAACAGAAGTCCCATCTCTTTATCCCTCAGTGAGGAAAATAAGTTAGTGGCAAGTGAAATGAAATCTTGAGAACCCAAAGGACATTTATGGAGTAGCTTGACAGGCACAATTTCAAATTCCGAATGAATAACCTGACTGCTCCTGCTGACAGCTATGACTCTGCCCCCACTGCTGGGGTTTTCAGGCTAGCTCTGCTCTCACCACCTGTGTGACCTCTGGTTCTCAAACTTGGCTACACACTGGAACCACGTGGGGAGCTTTAAAAAATACTGATGCCTGGAACCCACCCCCAGAGACTGTTATTTAATTGAGCTGGGGTGTGGCTTGGATATAGAGAAGTTCTAAAAGCTCCCCCAGAGACTCTAAATATGTGTAGCTAAGGTTTAGAAGCCCTGATGACCTCTCTGAGCCACAGTTTCCTCCTTTGTAAAATGATGACCATATAGGCAGCAACCACCTTTTAGGATTATTACAATGATTAATTGTTATTATTAACGATGACTAATTATTCATAATGATTCATTATTGCAATGATTATTGGCATGTGGGAAGCTCTCAGCAAATGTGAGCTGTTATCGTGTTCACCACAAGGTGCACCTGGACAAGAACTTTCTCCTTAGCATAATCAGTCATGCTTACCTTGACACACGTTATGCTCACTCTGCTCATAGCCCGTTGCGCACTGGATCCGGTGAGAAGGGTTGGCTGGGATGCGCTGAGGGTCAGCTGGGTTCCGTCGGATGACAAAGTTATTTCGGCCAGTCTGTACTTCAGGGCCTGCAACAGCAGCAGCACTGGCGATGAAGCCACCCCCAGGCATCACTGCACTGGCTGCCATGCCACTGGCTGCCATGCCCCCAGCGCCTGTACCTGATGTGGCGGCAGCATTTGCAGCGGCACCCACACTTTCCGCTGCCGCCGGTGTTTCTTGCTGAGGCTGTTCATTATTGACAATAATCTGGGCTGTTTTAGGAAGGCAGAGGTATCCTCCGTAGTGGTTGACACATTTCATTCCACCTTTGCAAGCGTCTGGGACAATGTCACATTCATCAATATCTGTGGTCAGCAATAAAAGAAATCAGGAATCTTCTCAGAGGGAAATCTGAACATGTAAATATATACTCATGCCTTTTTGGTAGAATATAAACAGGACAGGAAGAGTGACATGAGATGGAGACAGAAAGCTATGTTCAGATGGGAAGTCTTTGAAGTTGGCTCACCTTTGCACTGCTGTCTTACAGGATCCCACTCATATCCATCTGTGCATTGCTGTGAAGAAACATCAAAGATGGGGCCAGGAGATAGTTAATTTGTGTATCCAACTTCCTAAGAAGTCACTCTAAAAGCTTCATTCTTATGGCAACAATCCTTGCTCTAGAGTCTTAGATACATGATGTGATGGGTAGTTTAACATTCTCTAGATTTTCTTTCTTTCTTTTTCTTTCTTTCTTTCTTTCTTTCTTTCTTTCTTTCTTTCTTTCCTTTCTTTCTTTCTTTTTTTCTTTTCTTTCTTTCTTTCTTTCTTTCTTTCTTTCTTTCTTTCTTTCTTTCTTTCTTTCTTTCTTTCTT